GGCCACATCTCTTCAGGAAAAAGGGCAGGGAAGGATTTGGGAGTTCCCAGCACCCCAAAAGGAGCAGGACTGTGCCTGGGGGGAGAACACCAGTCTGGAGAGGGTGGGCTGGGGGCACAGACTGGGGAGAGGAGTGGATCCGATAACCATTCTTTCCTCTGTCCCACAATGCTGGGATCTGTCCTCCACTGCTACAGGAGAGCCCCTGCTGCAGCCAAGCAACCCCCCAGGCTCCCACGGCCTGGGGCTGAGGGCACATTGCTCCGATGTACGAAGAGCAAGTACAACATCCCACTGGGATCAGAGCTGCCGTGTGCTGGGACACGCAGCTCACACTCTGCCCTGCTTTAGGCCCTGCCTCCAACCCGCTGAGACAGCAGAGGGACAGGGCAATATGAAGCCATCTGCCTTAGGGGTGTCAATACAGACCCCTCTGATGTTCCAGCAGCTCCATGAGCACCTCCAGATGCCTTTTGGTCACCCCAAAGCAGCAGGAGAGCAGAGATTTGGCCTTTCCTCCTCTCCCCATCATCTCCCTGTTTACAGATTGTGTGACTGGGCCAACTACAACACCACCAGAAAGAGAGTTCAGCACTTGGAATGACCATCCTTACTCTGGGATCCCACAGGAAGGCCCAGCTTTGCACCCCCCACCCCATAGCAACCCCCCCTCTGCTCTCGCAGCCCCCACCTCACAGGGGAAGCATCTGCCAGCGGTGGAGTGCTGCTTCCCAATCCACAGTGGGAGGAAACCTGACAAAAGCAAAGGGCAAAGTCTTTTAGTCTCCCAAATTCACAGCAGGGTGCACATTTCACAGGAAACGTCATTACCAGAGAAGTCACTCCATTCATGAGGGTATTATCATCCACAATGAGCGATGATGCAGTGGTGGGGGGCGGATTTGACGCAGGAAGAGCGAAGAAAGAAGGGGGTCTAAGAGCCTGTCACTACAAATATTACACAGATGATGATGACGCTGGGAAGAATAGGATGAAAGCTTCCAGGAAGAGAGAGCTTGTCCAAGCTATCGGAGAGTTTACTCCCTCCACGTGGTAGTGAAGAGGGCTGAGGGCCTCAAGAGACGGGCAGGATGATCAGCCACCCTGTCAGTGCCACCGCTGTGTGGGACACCCCAGGCTGTGTCCAACAGTCACCCCACTGTGGCTGGGCCCGAGGGTGAGCTCTGGGTCAGCCGGTCTTGGAGGCCATCAGAGACCCCGGACTGGTCTGGGATAGGGACACCGGGACCCCGGCCCTGATGTCCGGGCAGGTCCTCTCGGCACTGCAGACATTGGCCAGGTCAACCTCAGCACCACGGACAGCGACTGTGACCCGTTCATCACCACGGACAGCGACTGGATCACGTTCAGCACAATGGACAGCGGCACCGCGCCCTCCGCGGAGCCGTGACACCCTACAAGGGCACCCCGCAAACGTGGGGCCCCCCTGCCTCGGCTGCCCCCCGTAAGGATCCACTATTGTCCTGCCAGGACTCTGTGAGGATCCACTACTGCCCTGCCACGACTCTGAGGATCTGTTATTGCCCCACCAGGTCCCTGTCAGGACCTGTTATTGCCCCACCAGGACTCTGAGAATCCACTGCTGCCCCATCAGGGCCCTGTGAGGACCTGTTATTGTCCTGCCAGGTCCCTGTGAACATCTGTAATTGTCCCGCCAGGTCCCTGTGAGGATCCCCTCTTGCTCCACCGGGTCCCTGCAGTCCCCCCTCCTGCCCCCAAGCCCACCGTGAACCCTTGTTATTGCCCTGCCAGAATCCAAGCCTGCTGCAAAATGATTTCTGTGGAGCCACTGCTCCAGTGACAGAGTGCTGCTCGGCAGCAAGCAGCCATCGCTTACGGCTTCCTGCACACACACACACACACACTCACACATATATATGCACAACTAGACACACGGACACGCACCCCACCACCCTGCCAGAGTCCCAGGAGCTTGGGGGTGCACCTCACACGAGCCTCGGGATTCAGCTGCACACATCCACGCACGCACACAGAGAGAAGCGCATGCACACACACACACACACACAGAGGGTTGCACCAGCTGAATTCATTAGCCCAGCTATTTTTACTAATGCAGCAAATCAAGTTGCTCTACAGGCAGAGAAAACACACCCGAGACACAGAGCTGTGGCAGAGCGCGCAGCCAAGGCTCCTGGGGGTACCGGCTCCCTGGGACACCCCCAGCTCTACACAACATCCCCAAGTAGCAGCAACGTCTTGCTTGGGGGGGGCAGAACCTGCTGACCAAAGCACAGTCAGTCATGGAGACATCCCATCGTACCGATCACCTTTCCCGGCAGCGCTCAGTTGTGTGTGAGCTGCCTCCTGCTCTGAGCCCATCAGCTCAGACCACTG